TTGAAGATCTGATGTTAGGAAATAAAGAATTGAATGAAGAAGAAAAGGCTTTAGTTGCTGCTCTTTGTTGGGGTATCTGGAAGGCTAGATGTGATTGGGTTTTCAATGAGGATAGCATTAATGGTGAGAAAGTAGTGACTATGGCTTCTACGTTGGTTAATGAAGTATGGAGTGTGAAGTCAGTTTCGAACAATAAAGTAAATGGTAGACAAGAGGCAAGACCTGCAAGGAATATTCAGTGGAATTTACCAGAAGTAGGCACGGTGAAGATAAATGTTGATGGTGCTTTTCTTAAACAAAATGGATGTGCTAGTATAGGAATTGTTTGTCGAGATAGTGCAGGATGTTTCTTGGGAGGTTATGGGAAGAAGCTTGTGGCCCAGACTGCTTTGGAAGCAGAATGCCTGGCATTTAGAGAGGCAGTTTTGATTAGTAAAAAGTTCAAAGAGTGCAAGATTTGCATTGAAACTGATTGTGAATTTCTCTTTAAGCAAATTGCTATGTCCTCTACTGAAGGTTTCGAATGGCAATGTACCTCTGTGTTAACTGAAATACTGTCACTAATTGAGAATAGGACAGAGATTGTGGTTTCCTTGGTATCTCGCCAAGGTAATGGTGCTGCAGACTTTATAGCAGCTTCTTGTAGAAGGGGGTTGGCACCCAATGGGTGGCTGGCAACAGTTCCAACTCCTTTGGAGGATATCCTTTTGGCTGATTCAATTGGTTGCGGGAAAAAGGATAGCATGGAGGTACAGAATGATTTGTTCAGTCGGTCTGGAAGAAATGGAAGAACTTCTCAATCTGATGTGGCCTATACTAATCGGGTTGGTATTGGTTGATGCCTCATTTCTGTTAGATAGTTTGTTTTCTGTTGTGTGAGGTGTGTGTAGGCTTGATTGTTAGTTTGTGTGTTTGTTTTTTTTGGTGAGTTTTTTGGTGGGCTAGGTTTATTGTTAGATTTTCTTGAGTGTTTGTTTTTGGCTTCGGCTATTGGTGTTTGTACTCTTTTTTGCTATCAATAAAATGGACTCTGTTTTGTCAAAAAAAAAAAGAATTACGGAGACCTTGTACCGTACAAAACAACTTCTTTTCATACAGTTAATTAGGAAATTTATTTCAATTTTAAATATACGATTCTAATATTTTATATGCCCTATATTTATATTCATTATTATGTTAATATAATTTTTAGTTTTTTAAATTTGGTTTTATTTTGGTTTTAGTTCTTTAAGTTTTAAATAATAGGTTTGGTTTCTTTAGGGATAAAATGGTCTAAGTTTTTATTATATTATAGAAAATAATATTTTAAATAAAAAGAAATTTAAGGCACCAAAACCTATGATTTAAAATTTGAAGGATTAAAACCAAAACAAGAGTAAACTTGAAGGATCAAAATTTATATTAACCTTTTATTATTTTTGCTTACATTATCCATATTAATTGCACATTTTTTTTAAAAAATGTATGAGGTTAGTTTTTAATATAAATAATTAAAAATTTTCATTCTAAAAAAAAACTAGCCCACAATGTTAAATAATTAACCTAACTAATTTATTTAATTTATTTAATAAATTAATTAAATAATTTTTACTTAGAATAAGAAAAAAATAATGAAGGGAGAAAAGGTCAAGCCAAACATCATCATAGTGTCAGCCTAGCCCTGCTATCTTAGTCAAAATTATGTACAATTTATACACAATAATGTATAATAAGCATCATAAACAAATTTCTCGAAATTTATATAAAATTTCAGTAATCTCTTAAATTTATACAGTACTACTTCCTGTTCTAAGTATAAGAACTAGTTGATTAATTTGAAAAGATTAAGAAAATAAATTATGTTAGTTATTTGTAATAAATATGTATTGTTTTTCCTAAAATATCTTTACTAATTAAATTTATTGATTAGAACTACCATTATTAGAAGGACTATCTTGAAAAAAATATATAAATATAAGAGTCAAAATAGATTAGAGTACTATCTTTACGACAAAAATAAAAGTCAAATAAGGTTTTATATTAAGTATATGAGGTAGTACATTTCAATCCCTTAATTATTAATATCATTAATTTTATTTAATATAAGCTGCTAATTGAACAAACTTAAATGATAATCGTATAATTAAATATGCTAACAAAGCATACTCAAAACTCCAATAGATTTGGTAGTTCATCATTTGCCTTATTACTCATCAAACAAATGAAACAAAAGAGGATATATGAAAACGAATCCTTAGGGATTTATTTTTTTAAAAAAATATTTCCAATCCTTTTTGTTGCCCCCTTCCTAATGCTTTCGCTTTATTCGTGTTCTTCATAGGATGAAGGTCTTGTTATTTCCATTGGTTTGCTACGCGTCGTTGTTTGGTTGTCATATCTCTGATTTTTTTTTTAAAAAAATATTTGCGTATACGATATAAAGGTGACAAGACATTTTTGTTAAAAAAAGCAGAGGTAAAATTACGCGAAGTGTTTTAAAAATGTCTGCTATATAAAAATTTTAAACCTCATGTTTATTTCGATGGTGTAAAGATTTGTCCTCACTCCTCAATTGAAACAATTCTTACCTTTTTGGTCCTCAATAATTTAAATTTATGATTATGACTATATTTTCACAAAATATGAAAATGACGTCTCCATCTTTATTTATTTATTTTTTTGTTTATTTTATGATTCTTTCGGATATATATTATAGAGAAGAACTCTATTACGTAGTCCTTTTTTTTTTTTGAGTGGATTAGTGGTTAGCACAAATAAATAAATAAATTTTTTGAGTAAGTGAGAAGCATATATCATGAAGGTTGCTCAACAACATGGTGTCCCATTCCTCAGATCTAGTAATTGAAATTAAGACTTGTGTATTGTTTATTTGTTTCATATAAAAGTCCCGTACATAATTTTTTTGGGCTAAATGCATGATTTTTTTCCAACTTGTGTACTAAACACATAACTTCCCTTAATAACTTTGTGGCTTAGTGACGTTATAATTTTAATTCCACTTAACACACTGTTAATACAAGCCCCATTAAGTAAAATGAAAGATGTTACTTTTCCTAAACTTGATTGTAGAATGTCGTCTTCTCTTTCAAAATACTACTTGAAAATTTAAATTTAAACTACGTTCGAGTTACATATATTACCTATGAATACTGATTTTTTTAAGCGAAATTTTTTTTTTTGGGTGGAAGGAAAATTTTTGTAACAAAATGGAGAGAGGTATGCAAACATATGGGGAAAAAAATGCTTGGTATCCATAAAAAGAAAAACAAAATATTTTACTTCATGAAGTTTGGTAAATTGAGAAAAAAAGAGAAGGATTAAAAATAATTTAAAGTGGAAAAAAACTAAATTGCTCTTGACTCTTGATTATATTAAAACGAGTTAATTTTTTTATCGATCTAATCTAATATTTAATGCTCTTTGGTCATGTTTATGGGTTCCTCATCATCTCTTTCTTAGTCACTAAGGAGAAGTGTTATACATAATATTTAAATTAGAAGGTATCAGTCAAAGCAGGCGAGCCATTATCATTTAAGTAGGTGGTATGTGATTTTTGGCCAAAAGAAAAAAGAAAAGGTAGGTGATAGGGTTTTAGTCAAAGCACTTGTGTGATGAATATTGATAACAATTGGAAATTAACTTTCATCTGTGAAACCCCGTGATTGTCAATTCCCATTAGCTTTTTTTTTTAAAAGAAAAAAATTTGGACGAAAATGTCTATTATAATTTTAATGAATGATAAAAGACGTGATTTCGTCCATTTAAGTTAGGGTGATCAGTGGTAAGAGTTCTTAACTTGTTCCTTCAATATATAAATAATTGGAAGTTTCAACTCACAACACTTTTAAATGAAGTAAACTTATTTAAAAGAGATTTTTCTTCTGCAATCTATAGTTTATACCTTGACATTTTCATATTAGCAATAAAATTTAAAGTAATCTTTTATTTAGTTTTCCGTGTTTAGAATGTATAAGTGTCATTCAACTTAAAACCTACTTTTTGCTAAAATATATATAAAGGGAGTATTTACGCCACTAAATTATGAAGTTATAGAAAAAAATTAGGGAAAACCATATTGGAGGTACCTATATTTTTTCTCAATTTTCAATTTGATACCTATGTGTTTTTTGTTCTTAACTAAATCTTTAATTTTGCTCTATTAACATCATTAATCCTTATGTAGAGACTAAAAATATCAATAGAACAAAGTTATAAGAGCTAATGTTGCTAAAAAGATAAAATTAAATGTTTAATTAAAGGGGAAAAAACACATAGGTACTAAATTAAAAATTGAGAGAAAGTATAAGTACCTCCAATATGGTTTTCCCAAAAAATTAAGTTAGCGACTTATGATGATCAGAAAATGATATACATCAATGATCTTGAAATCTAATGGCGTAAATATTTTTCTGGAAGAAAGATGTTAAAGCTTGGATCGCACTCATAATTTTAGTCATTAGTGTTTACTCGAATGATTTTTGTGCAAACCCTGGCGTGTTGGATTGACTGGTAGGAGTCATTTGGATTAACCGGTAGGAGTCATTCTAATTTAATCACGAGTCTCAAGTTTGAGGTGTGAGAATGCAACACTCGAGAGGTCAGGGGAGCCAATCCTGAGACATGAGAATGCAGCACCCGAATGGCTAGTGATGCCAACCGTAATGGTCCCTATCATGCCTAATAATTAAAAAATGGTAAGCAGTGCAACCAACACAAGACCTAGCTAATTTATTTAATTAAAAAACCTATGTACATGAATAATTCAACACGTGAACAGGTGACCTTCTGAGAAGGTCGGCTTCCTCCGATAAATTAATCAAATCTGAACAACAAAATAATGCTTAGCAAAACGTGTTCAAACTTCAACTAACAAGCCCACATTCAAAATATCCATGTCTAGTTGACTATTCTCCTTTTCTGTATATATACACACACACTCGCACCATGATCTTCAGCTTTCATCAAGCTTTTTTTTTGAGTGAAAGCTTTCTTTGATTAAGCTTTAATTTTCAGTTCTCATCATATATATAAAACGATTCAAGTTCAACAAAATCCAACCATGAATCTTTCATTCTCAGCCTTATCATCAGCTTAATCATCATCTGCAATTCTTCCACTGTCAAACAAACGAATATCATCAAGGCCTGCGAGGGTTTCTGTGATTTCATGTTCTTCTTCTTCTTCTGCCTCAACCATCACCATGAATACTGAGAAGACCTGCAACTTCTACAAGCTTCTGTCTTTGAGCTCAGAGGCCGCAACCATGACCGAGATCAAGCAGGCCTACCGGTCCATGGCGCTCCGGTACCACCCCGATGTGTGCCGGCACACCTCGGAAAGAGAGGAGTGGACGAGGCTGTTTGTGCAGCTTAATGCTGCGTATGAGACCCTGTCGAATCCCCAACTTCGTGAAGAGTATGACTACAATGTTCTGGGATTGAGAAGGAAGACGGCCGCGGCGGCCGCGGCGGCGAGTGATGAGGTCAGTTTGAGAAAGAGTAGGTGTGAGGACCAAAAGAGAAGGTCTAACAGAAGTTCCATGAGAACACAAAGAATGAAACACCGCAATTGATTCATTTCTTACCACGGATTATTATTTTCAAACTGCAGATAATTTAATGCTTGTTAATTCTCTGTAACTATCATTCATCTGTTAGGTACATAATTGTCAATTCATATATATATATATATATATTACAGGCAACTTCTAAGGGATAAAGAAAACTGACATTATAATATATCAAAATGACCATCATTATACATTGTAGCTTTATTTACTACTGCGTTATGTATCTCCAATGCTACAATTGAAATATAATTCTTGTTCTATAATTTCTTTAATGGAAGTTGACATATCCAGAAACTAACGGTAGCTTGACCTAAGAATCAGGGTAATTCAATGTTTGGACCAAAGGTTGCAACAGCATCAGCTACTGTTAGAAAAATCTTATCTTCCCCAATTAAGTCTGTGAATTTTGATGCACAAAACTTCTCCATTACTACCGTCCCAGGGTTTGCCAAAGCAAGCTGTGAGAAAAGCCACACAGAAACATTGTCAATAAGCATAATGAAGACCTAGAAAAGATGCTAGTAACCTAACAAAATGATCGGTTTAATACAACTTCATAGTCTTTTTTTTTTAATTTTTATTTTTTTGGGGTTAAATTGGCCAGTTTAATCTGATTCTAATAACATTGATCCAAAAATACTACAATTTCAACCACAACAAAGTTTTATCCTATTAAGTGAAGTCAATTACATGAACCCCATTCCATCTGAAACCAACTCTTCCAATAGGATTTTAATAAGGAGTTTTTCAGTTAATGACTTTCCTAACTGTATTTCTTGGCCTCCCTCTACCTCTCTTCATAGGGTCAAAGATTATCTGCTCACCTCTCCTTAATGGCGCCTCGAATAGACTTCTCCGAAAATGACCAAACTATCTTAAACAGTAGGACATTGATGATGCAGAACAACCTAAAGATATTACTTTTAGGAGATACTAAAAGAATTTACCTTGACCTCTCTTTTCTGAAGGCTCTTGTACAACTCTTGCAAGGCGCGAATGCCACTAGTGTCAATGTCAGTCACAGCTGCAACAGTATTGTGATTTCACCAATTAATTACTTAACTAATACCAATTTGATTTAATTGATTGATTGATTGACTTCGAAAGAAAGCCTTACGGGACATCTCAACAATGAGATATTCTGTTCTGGGAAGGTTGTTTTCTTTCTTCTTTACATCTTCATCAATGAGACATCTCAGAATTCTGCAAACGTTGATTCAGCCATCCATGAACCCTCTATTTATCTGTTAACTAACTTTTATACTGTCTTCACATTTCTTATTGAAGTTGGGAAAAATCAAATTAATCACCTCTCCTTGACGTAGTTGGAGTTTGAGAAGTAGATTGCAGAATCAACTCTGATAATCAGCATGCCAGGAACCAGAGTTGCTTTTGGGTATTGTTGAATGTTCCTATAAACTGAAGTTTCTGGAACCCTCCCAAGTACTGCTGTTCTTGGCCTTGTTACTTGTAGAAGAATTTTTGCGAAAGATATAACCACCTGCAAAAAAAGTTAAGAAAATACTGCTTAAAAAGCATTATCAAGCAAACTCAATCCATAACAAGTACACTGATAGATTAAACCAATAATAAACAGACATATCTGACATTTTGAAGATGGCATTGTGGAAAACTCAGTTTAGAAAATCTTGTTTTTGCAAAAGCAACCTTTACTTACGTGGGAAAATACTGAGGTTTGAGGAAAAAAACCCAGTTCAGCAAAGGCAGCCAAACAAGCATTCGATACAAACTGGGTTTGTAAAATTGGTTTTGAACCTCCAAACTATTATCGAAACATAGCCTCAGCATTTCAAGATTGTATTCCACTAAACAAGTGGCAAACATGCTTACTGCAATAAGAAGGCCAATCACAACATTCTTGAAAATGACACCAAGGAAGGCTCCCATGCAAGCTATAAAGTCAAATTTGTCAATCTTCCAGAGCAGAACAGCAGCTTCTATGTCCACAAGGCCAATTACAGCAGCAATGATAATGGAAGACAGCACAGCAGTCGGGATGTACTTGAACAATGGTGTAATGAGTTCCAGAGCCAGCAATACAACTATGGACATAACTATGTTTGACGCAGCAGTATGGCAACCAGCCATGAAGTTCACTGCCGAGCGAGAAAAGGATCCTGCATCAACACCAGAAATGCACGTTAGGATGACACGTGACATGACAGCGTATCATCAGATATTTTTGAGCTCTTTCATACCTGTAGCTACATAACAAGAAGTGAGTGATCCAATAACGTTGATTGTTCCTATTGCCACCATTTCTCTGTTTCCATCAAGTGAATAGTCTTTCACCGCAGCAAAAGTTCTTCCAATTGCTATAGCTTCCTGCACTTTGAAAACTTGGCTTTGAATATCTTGCAGTGTTGTAAAATCAAAATGATTCTGTAGTTCACGAAGTAGAATCTTCTTACCGTGAGTGCTATCATACCAGTCACCACACCTATACGAATTCCAGGGCCAAGATACTTCCCGCTGAAGAATATTTCATTAGCTGATATTGGGTTTACGCCTTTTTGTACCTGCCTGGCCTGAAATACATAGTCTCATTATGATTTGAAGATTATCTAGCTTCAGAAGGCCAAATACGGAGTTAATACTTACAACCGGGACGCCCTTTTTGTCAGCGCGAGTAACATAGACGAAAAATGTGCACAATACAACGGAGATCAAGGGAGCAGTTGCGGAAAGCCAGAAGAATTTCTTGTTCTTTTTAGCCTGTCCATCACATAAGAAAACTTGAGATACTTTCATTGGAAGAATACAGCATTAGAAAGATCCATGAATGGAATTATTACCATGTGCTTGCTTGCTAGAAGGAAGGTCAAGAATGCTACTCCTATGACTATAGTCCGCCAGTTCCACTGCAAAAGCAGACAATATTGTTAGTGAGCTTTTGATTTTTGCTTCTAGAATTTTGTGCCTTTTACAAATGATAGTTGCAATTACCCCATGGTCTGCTCTACTAAAGACTGAGCCCAGGACAGAAACAATATCGGTCTTCTTGGTAAAATTGACTATGCCCAGTAACCCTTTAAGCTGTTGCAGGCAAATAGTAATGGCAGCTCCAGCCATGAATCCCACTATGGCAGCATGAGATAGGAAATCAATCAAGAAACCTAGTCTGTAATACGAGAAGATTTTCAGACAGAAACAGAGAAGAAGCAGTTCTGTTAAGAAAATTCTGACTCTACCCAAAAAGAAGACAGTACTAAGTACTGCATTTTGTTCAGACTTGCAGGTGAAGAGGTGTGTTAGAGAATATGAATTTTCACTCAACAGTTGAATTCATGCATGACAAGATGGTCAAGATGTATAGGAGAATCAGAATCATGAGATTTTGAGCACATACTTTAGGCACTCAGATTGCTGGCCAATTATGCAGTAACATACCTGAGAATCCCTACAGCCATTTGAGTGATTCCGGCAAAGAAGGTGGCTGTGAAAGCGAGCCGGAGATAATCATGACTCTTATAGTCACTAATCTCATCAGTGAGCATGCTTCCAAGCAAGAGGGACACCACGGCAACTGGTCCTATGGCAATATCTCTTGAGCTTCCCATGAAAGCATACACCAGAGGAGCTACAAAGCTTGAGTCTGCACAAATTGATGGGAGAACCCCGTAACCAAATCACATTACTCCCCTCAAGAGCCAACTTTTAGAAGGCTAGAAAGCATAGATAATGAGACCGACACATGATACAGGAGGGTACATGAAGCATGACCAATGACACAATAAAAGATACTCCCTAGTCCTTAATACAAGACTTATTTAGCTAATTTGATTAGATTAAGAAAGTTAGGTAAGTTAGTTAATTATAAGAAATACGACATATTTTTTTCTAAAATACCATAATCATTTTCTTTAATATCCTGCCTCTCTTATTTACTTGATTATGGTTGATGGAGTATCCATAAGGGTAATTTAAAAAAAATTGATAAATATGAGAAATAGGTCTCATATTTAGGACTAAAATTAACTTAATAATTAGGTCTTATATTAAGGATGGGGGAGTAATAACTTAGATTAGATTCTAATAATATTCACGGTTAAGTTAACTGAAAAAAAAAATGGAACACATAAAAATTTCACTGTTCAGTGTTGCAATACTGACTTTTCAAAACATAATACCCAAGCCCATCTTACAGACCAACCACCCCCGGGGGGGGGGGGCGCCAAAAACACAAACACCCTCGGGCGGTGGTTTGCTGGGAAAAAGAATACTCACATAGCGCATACTGAGGATCCAAATTTGCAAGCTTTGCATATGCAATATCCTGTGAAAAAGCAAATGAATTAAGTCCAAAACTAGAAACCAACGTTAAGGTGACACTGATATGAATAACATCACTCTACATCCAGACCTTACCTGAGGAATACAGAGTGAAGCAATGGTAAGTCCGGAGACAAGATCACCTCTGAATTTATGAAAACTGTAATCTCTTCCCCATTCAAGGATTGGAAAAACTGCTTTAAGTCCAAGAACAAGCTTCCTTGATATTGGCTTGTCGTTAAGATGGCATAAAGGATGGTCTGAGAAGAAAGTCTCCCTCGCTGCATCTTTAATCCCCTTCACAAGCTTTTGCTTTGGAGGAGCTCCCACCTTGTGAATATGCAAGGTATGATCTCCTTTCACGTGACTTGAAGCATTATTACTTCCCATTTCCTCCACTACCTTCATTTTCGCAAGCTCGGGCTAGGCCTGAGACGATTACCGGCAGTTAAGACCCGAAAATCAAACAGATATTATGCAGACAAGTGAATCATGTTAGCAGAGCCCTCTGCTACTCAGTCACCTTCTTTAAAACCTATAGAGTGTCTGCATTTTGTCATGTGAAGTTGGTGATTTCAAGAATCTTCCTTTTATCAAACACTAAACGAACATGAATATAGATGAAGATATAAGCTGTCTGAGATATGAACTTTTATGTATTTATGGTGATAGAAATGACAAGAACTGGCTGGCGGGGTCAAAGAAGTAGTGAAACACACTCACATTATACGACAAGGTTTGACCTCGGGGAACAAACAAGATTCATAGGCTAATGATTTCAAGAACAAACAGCACTTGGATGTGTAATTGATTATGGTTTGATACTACACTTTAAACTAGGGGCACATGAGTCAAAACGATGAAACAGCACAGAGAAGGATGGGAAACCAAAAAGAGAAGAAGAATTTGAGTTTGGATTTGCCTAGCTAGATAAGAATTTTGAGATTACTTGCTCTCTTCTCACATATTATTCTTATGATCATCATCATAATTATAATTGTTAATCTCTATTGACTTGAGAAACGCATATCTTTAGTGTTGGTGGTTCAAATGATTTAGGCTAAATTGGTTCAAATGAAGGTGGCTGTGATTGAGTCCAGGTTCACAAAATGCTCGTTCAATGAATGTACTACCTGATTTGTAATCTGATCTTTGAATTGCCACGAATAAAGGCAAGGAAGGAGAAGAATTGCATTTTCTTTGTTTAATTGAACAAGTGTTTGGTTTATTTGATCCGGCAGGAGCTTGCCAAGGAGCACTTATAGAGATATTGATGATAGCCACCAACTAAATCCTTGCATTTTCAACAACATTTAGATTTGCGCATTTGTTTCGTCCAAAAAAGAAAAAAAAAAAAAGAATTTGCACATTTGTAGGGTATAAGTCGCGTATATATTAATTAGATTTTGTGTAATATATGTTAAATACTGACGTATTAATTGATATTATTCTCAGAAGTTAGTTGGGGGGAAAAAGATTGTTGCATGAAAAAAATGATGCTTGACATGATTTTAGGAGTGATTAATTTTTTATCCAAAAGCCAATTTAAAGTTAAAGTAACTTTTTCTTTAAATTTAAACATTCTAAAACTGATTTTTCACCATATCATTTAAATAAAATGACTTTTTTTTTAATAAAAATTTATTTAAACACGAATTGAATTATATTAATTGCATTTGTTTAGCTTGAGTTTGTGAAAGTTAATTAAAATAAAAGTCATTTTTATCAATTAATAGTAGAAAAGGACAATAGACAATAGACAATAATATATATATATATATATATAAAAGGAATGATGCTTTCTATAAATGTTATAACCATCCTTGATGTCTAACCCTTTTTTAAGAAAATATTTTGCGTGAAGGAATTAACGGAGCCCATAAACTTGTATTGATTCATTATTAAGTAGGAAAAGAGGGTCCTCTTCGCCTTAGAAAATGAAGCCTTTTGACATTAAGGAGGAAATGTTACTAAACTTAGGGTGTCTGGCTATCATAAAAAGTATTTTTTAAAAATATTTTTTTCAAATCGAAATAAACTCGTCTACATATTAATATCGTCTATTGTAAAATACTTTTAAAATGATGATTTTGATTCCATCCAAATACTAATAAAATGTGTAAACTAAATATACTTTTTTATGAATTTTTATTAAAATATTAAAATATTATTATTTTTAAATTGATTTTTTTAATTTTATTAGAAATAATGTTAATATAAATTTTTTACTAAAATATTTTTCATTAATTCAGTTATTCAAATACATACTAACTAGAATATAGAATAACTTTTCATTTCAAAATATCTGAATATGTTTGGAAATTGGAAAAAATATGATTTCAATAAAATTTAACAAAATATAAGTAATTTCCTGGTCATGAAAACCACCCTATCTTAATTAATTTACGCTGACCCTTTGTTGAAACCAAAAGAAAAAATTTAACTCATCCGTTCAAAAAGACTGGAAGACGCCAGATCAAAAACTAATAGTAATAAATTGATTAAAATGCAAAGCAAGGCACCATCATCTCAAATAATAAAAAATAACCTCAAATTGAAGAACTCTCTTTCAAATTAAATCTATCAGGTTCATAAGAAGTCATTAATTTCTAAGTTTCAGCTCCCAGCGTAATTAATAAATCATCCAATATTTGTTACTATATTCTGTAAAAGTTAAGATATAGGCAAAAACTCGTCTCTCTCTTCTGTATTCTTAGTAACTCTCTTGTAATAAGGAAACAAAAGCATACTTTTGTTCCTTTACATATTTCAAGATAATAACAATATTTCTTATTTTTAAAATAAAAGCTATGTAGTTTATTTGAATAAATCAAGGAAGTCAAATAAATTAGTTAACGTAGTAAATGTGACATAGTCTCTCTAAGATACCTTTATTATAATAATGGGCAAAATACCCAAGAAAGAATCCTCTAAGCTTTGAACCAATTGCTATAATATTCCTCATCTTTAAAGGTTTGAATTAAAGATCATCATGTTTCATGTTTTAGTTATTAACCCCCATCGACTGTTGTTAAAATTGTGCTAAAGTTAATGTTTTTTATTTTTTCATGTCAACCTTTTATATTTTTTATTATATGCCATGTCATTTAAAAAATAACACTTATGATTAAAATTACTTAAAGTGAAATAATTAATTACTTTAAAAATATAAAATACTTAAATATTAAAAATTATTTAAAATATTTATTTGATTGAGTCCTTTTTAAATAAAAAATTATAAATTACTTCAAATTAAGTGTATTTTTAAATGACATGATATAAAATAAAAAATATAAAAAAATTTGACATGAAAAAAAACTGTTAACATTAACAGTTGTTTTAACAGCAAAGGGTTAATAATCAAAACATGAAACATTATACTCCTCCGGTCCTAAATATAAGACTCTTATACTAGTGTGCATCTTATATTTAGGATCAGAGGAGTAGTTTTTAATTTAAACTTTAAAAGATGAGGAAAGTTAGACAGCAACTAACTCAAAGTTCATGAACATTTTGTGTATTCTAGCTTAATATTAAATTATGTATTGATTTATAAGTTAAGTAAATTAATTTAAGGAAAAATTGTAAATATAAGACAGTATGTACTAAGGTTTATATTTTTATTAGGATCAAATTCAATGTTTAACTTTTTTTTGACCAGAAAATTCAATGTTTAATTAGTTCTTATATGAGAAAGTGAAAATATTAATAAACAAACACAGAGAAGTGCATGAAATATTTAAAAAATAAATTTAAAAAGAAAAAGATAAATATTTGAATCTTACCTTGTCTCTAACGTTTGAGAAGCTCTCGTATTCCTCCTCAATGCCTTTCAATTTTTCATGTGCTTTGGATTTGAATATAAATAGAGTGTCACACACACACACACACACACATATATATATATATATATGAGATCAATTTAATAAGGACACGATTATTTATAGTATTAATTTATTATTACAGAGTGATTTCGCGTAACAATAAAAAGCCAATTAATATATAAAATAATTTCTTAACCAAATCCTGCTCAGAGAGAGGGGAAAAATATCAAGGATTCATTTTCAAAACTATAGCTGGATGATGTTTGCTTACACTATGTATGGCTATTGAAATATAGACAGCTTATTTTAGAAACTCTTCACCGATGAAAAAGTTAATAAAAAATAATCTTTAAATAGATGATGGAAACGTTCAGTTTTATTGTATAATTCAATTCTAATTATCATAAAACAACAAAAGTCAATGATGTAGTTTGGCTTTATGTTTTTCATTTGGACGACATTTTAAATTAATTTTTCATATGCATTCAATCTTACGCAACCCAACAACTCTACTAATATTGTTTTGCCATCCTTTTTTTTCTTTTTGTTTTTTTTTCCAAGTTTAAGTTCGTCAATACAGGTTGACCTCAATCATCTCCTTCTCCTTTTGCTTTTTCTTCAGCTTCTCCTTCAAAAGCCAACATCAAAAAACAAAAAGTCTTTAGATGAACACAAACTCTCGCAGATCCACAAACACCCACTACAAAAAAATTGACTTTCCGCGGCGACAAAAGTCGCCGCCGAAAGTTTTTTGCTGCGACAAGTCGCCATTGAAAAATCGTTGCCGTAGCAGCCGTGGCTGAAAACTTTCAGTGGCGACTAAAAAGGTCGCCACTAAAAGATACTTTCAGCGGCGACTTTTAGAAGTTTCGACGGCGACAAACACTTTCAGCGGCGACATTTGTCGCCACCGAAAAGTCTTTCAGCGGCGACAAAAATCGTTCTAATACACATTTGGTGTCCCCGCTGAAAGTCCACTTTCAGCGGTGACTTTTTTTGTCGTCGCCTAAAGTCTGTTTATTTGTAGTGACTACAACTAGTCCAAGCACTCCACTGCCATTTCAGCTATGATGAGAAGTACTTTTGCATTCGTATGACCGGTGTCCAGTTCAATCTTTAACAATAAATAACGAAAAAGAGAGAGTTATAGTTAGAGGCTCTAACGGTCATATTGAGATGAGTAAGGTAAACATAAAGAGCGTCAATAATAGTGTTGGCAGTGACAAATTCGTAACCAATCCAAGAAAAACTTGCACCTTTAGTAAAGGAGTTTGAAACCATAATGAGTGTAAATTGTATTGGCACCATAAAAGGTTCCATGGGGGAGCATGATCGGTTAACAATGTTGGCTTAGTTGTCACTAAGACTGGAAACAGGCCAGACAGTTTGTCAGGGGTCTTATGATCTGGCCGGCATTTAGTTAGGCCTGTTTTCAAAAAGAAGCAGGTCTAAGCCTATTTGAAGGTCTATTTAATTTAACAGGCTATGCTTAGGCTCTCTAAGAAGACTGTTAAGCCTGTTAGGCAAGATTGAGCTTTTTAATGGTACTATTACTAGTGTGTACCTTTAATTTACTTTTTAATTTTAATATATAGCTAATGGCTTAATGCTTCCTTGGATTTTGAAGTTTAGTTGACAAGTGAAGATAAAAATATAATTTAAAATAGTAATATCAATAAATAATGTGATATTTAAATTTTAAAAATATAAATAAAATAGGAAAGAAAAATTTTGTTCCAAGAATGATAAATTAATTAACTTATATAGTATGTTAATTAAATTATGATACCCTCTTTATTCATTATAAAATTAATAATTTTTCTCTTTGTTTATTTGTCTTGATTTTAATTTTTATTTTGTACTTAAATTTAATCTTGTTCCAAATTTTAATATACAATTACAACTAGTTTTCAATAATATCCTTGCAAATTGTAATTAAGATTTAAAATAATACTTATGACACTAAAATATAAATAAAAGACAAGATTGAAAAATTAATTATTATGTACTTTTTTAATCTTTTTTTTGTATGTCACTATGTAATTTGAATTTTTTTAAAAAAAAAATACAGGTTTTAATACAGACTTCAGCCTAGGCTAGGTTGAAAAATAAACTTATAACAGGCCACAAGTCAAACTCAGGCTGATATGTTAAAAAACATGCCTGATCTATTAGGAACAAAATATGGCCCAGCCTGGCATCGCATGTTTTCATCCTTAGCTGCCATGAGCATTACCACGGTTGCATTCAATAGTTTGCAATTAAGTAGACATGTGAAAGACAGTTTTTTGGACGGTGATGACTGTCCTCAATTAAAATTCAGTGAGCTGTACTCATTCCTCCATTGCACGCACATTGCTCTTAAATTAGGCGAGTAGGGCCAAGCAATCACCCCTTTTGATACCGATGATATGATATTGATACCACTAATATGGTATATTGATGAGAAGCAGAGAGAAAAGAGAAAAAGAGGAAGAGCAAGAAAGGAGAAAAATAGGGAATGGGGCTTGCGAGGATAGGAACAAAGAGAAACAAGTGATATATGAAAGATAATTTTTCTTACTGTGCTTGATATGTGTTGAGAGTGTTCTGTATTATACTATTATGAACTAAAAGGATATATTATATACATACATAGATAATATTGTTTTAAATTCTTAATATAAGATCTATCTAATTAATTTGAATAAATTAATTGAAAAAATTAGTTCAATTGGTTATTTATTAAAAAAAATATCATATTAAATCATTTGCGTTGAAATTATAGTTTGATGTAAAAATTTTTAATACGTAATTTTAAAAAAAGATATGTATAGATATAAAATGAATTGATGTTTTATATTTATAATCAAATCTAACATCGAACTAATTTTTATATTAAGAGCAAGATATAGTATTATTTTTAAAGCATTGGATCAATCAATCTTACATAAAATTTTTTTGAAGCTTTGATTTTGAAATTTGGCTTAAAATTTAGCTTTTAAAGGGTCAAAATATCTTTGAGCGCTTAAAATATCTTTTATCCCTCTTCTGAAAAAGGAATTTATTATTTCTATTTTTTTTTGCTTTTCTAGTGTCATTTTTTGTGGCCCCTAAATATGAATGAGAATTACTCCTCAAAATTTGATTATTAATTAAATGTTATATTATCTATTATATGCTTATTATTATTTAAGGATAAGACAATTTTCTTTTTTATTAAATAATGGGTTTCACAAAACATGGGAAAAATTCTAAAAAATATCACCTAAATCTCAAAATCTCAAATAAAGAATTTCTACAAAAATATATTATCATTTGCTTTTCAAATGTAATTAATTTTTATTAAAGTATAAGAAATAAGACTAATTTAGAATTTTAAAATTTAAATAATATTTTTCTTGGGATTTTTTCTAATATATGTGTGTGTGTATCCGCTCATGTCTCTTTTAAAACTACTATTTGTAATAATGACTCAAATGAGATATGAAAAGCAAATTAGCAAACTAGTCCCGGTTTTTGCCCATTTTCGTGGAAATCAATTCACATATATGCTCCTCCCTCCGACCTAATAATAAGCGCCATTTTTCTTTTTTCTTCATTTCCAAATATCAATAAAACACGTTGGATTAGCTGACGTCTATAAGTAATATACCTTAGTTTCTTTCCAACTTTGCCCTCATTCCCACCGACATGCATGTGGCTTTCGACTTTTTGTAACTTCATATGCCTTTATTTTTTTTTTTGTGCGGAAATAATTGGACCCGACTCAATAATAAAAAATGTACGTAATGACAACAACATGTCATAGGAAATTATTGAGTATAACGAAGAACGTATAACAAATCAAACAAACACACACACACATAACATACATACATACAGATATATGTATATATAACCATATACTACCTCCGGTCCTTAATATAAGACCCTGTTTGATTTTTATTTTGGTCCTAAATATAAGATCCCAATCCATTTTGTCTCTCATATTTATACATTTTTTTTCAAAGTAGCCTTTCTAATAATAATAGTTCTAGTCAATGCACTTGATTAGTAAAGATATTTTAGGAAAGACAATACCTATTTAAGACAAATAATTAACTCAACTTACTTCTTTAATCTTCTCAAATTAGTCAACTAACTCTTATAATTAGGACCGGAGGTAGTATTATTCATCTATGAAGTGATGATTCCTGGGTCTGATACTCAAAGAAGCATCACGTGAAGGGAAAAAAGGGTACCAAATAATTAAATTTAAAACACAGATCGAAAGATGATCAGAGAGAAATTTGATCGATGAGATATTTCAAAGTGTGTATATATATATATGTATGTATATTAATTTAAAACTACTAAAACAGCAGCGATCTAGTATAACTTGTAGAGTTTGCATAATAATAATATGATGAAGGGGAAATGAGAGAATAGTAAATTAGCAAGGCCAGAACTCAGCCCTTTTGACCTTGGAGATGCTTTCAAGAACTCCCAAAGGAGATATGTGCCCCATCACTGTGACCCTCTTCGTCTCCAAGTCTATGCTAAATGATGTCACCCCTACACACGCACATGCCACTTCATGTTAATTACCATATGTATATGTATATGTATATTATATCACTCCATCAAATATATACACATAGACATGTGATCATATACTTTAATTCCCCCCCCCCCAAAGAACTACTCCCTATAGATCATTTGTAGATATTAAACTAAAAAGTATCACTCCCTCGGCTCCCATACAATATAAAATAAATAAAAAAAGACCATACTATTTATAAGTTAGGAGCATTATTAAGCTACGTCTGCTTACCACATATTTTTAGATAAGAGTTAGCTAAGAAGTAGTGTTTGAATCAAAAAACTAGTGGGTGTGAGAAAGTTAATATGGTACTTTTTCATGTCTGTTTAATTATTTATATAAAAAAAAAGCAATACCATATTATAAAAAGTATTTATTACAAATTTTCTTTTTTTTAATCCTCGTTAAAAATATATTTATCAATGAAATCAATTATTAATAATCAATGATTAATTATCAAATGAGGACATTTGAGATTTTTTTTTTACATAACTGGAGCATATTTTATTGAATTCAACTACTTTAATTATATTTTTTATTTTTGGAAATTAGCTATTTGATTATTATTATTATATAAAAAAGCAGCTGGGAGTAGTAGATGTATAATTCATCGATAAAATAGTTAATATGATTTGGTATTGGTAATTAATAATTAATTAAGCAAAAGCATTAGCACAAACATTGGCCAAAAAAAAAAAAGAATTATTGTACAAAGCAGATTTTTTGTACATACCTTCCATTTTGGAGAGATGCTTCTTAACTTTGCCAGCACAACCTTGACAATGAAGAGCCACCTTCATGACAACCACCTGCAAAACACAAATCATTAAATTCCTCACCTCACTGAAACCAACATAACTCTGTAAACCACCTTTTTCTTCAATCAAATCCTTCTTCACCTTCTTCATGAAGTTGGATTCTTCGCCATCAAAAATCGAGAATTTCTGTTTTCTTTGATAAGAGGAGAGAGAAGGAGAGAGAAAGAGAGAAAGAGAGAATAGGGTACATGAATAAAATAGTATTAGCTTCATCACGCAGAAAAAGACACACAAATCATTTTGCGTTCTGTGAGGAATATGCATGGGAAAAGCTCAAGGGCAAAGGCACGTGAAAGATCTTGGAATTCGACAGAACTGCACCAGAAGGATAAATTATGGAGAATCCTTGTTTTCTTCCTAGCTAGCTATCTCCTCCACCTGTGACCATTCTGGTATAGTCCTGTTCCTTTTGATCTAATAATAACAAGGCATTGATGAAGGAGAAGATCATGGAGGGGATTATTTTCTTACTTTAGTGCATTTAATCTTGTCTTGATTTTTAATTGGGGATCAAACCTTTGATCGCTATCTTGAGAATCATCAAAGGAAAATGCAGCTATATGTTACAACATGTGGGTGTTGCTTTAATAAAAATGAATTGAAGACTTGATCTAATACAGAATATTAAGCATTAATTACAATGAGCAAGATAAATCTGACCTGAAAGACTTGATCAGTTGGTGCTTGATGAACTGCCCTTGGCTCTTTTTCTTCATCTTGCCCTCGCTCCCTCATCTTCTGCTTGATCTTCGGTGCAGCAACAGCCAATGCTTTCTTATCAGCAGGCTCAAGCCTGCGAGTCTCAACAAGTTTGCAGTACTTGGGATAGTTGATGAGTCTGGTATCATCAAGAAAAATGCTTCTCTCTGGTCTTCTAGGCACTACCACCGACCGACGGTCAGCGGTGCTCATGCATACCGCAGTTGATGCCTGAGAGTGGCACATGAAACCCCTCCTCATTTTCCTGTTAGTGCTCTTTAGGCTCATCTTGGCGTACCAGAGCGATACAGATAGAGAATCTTGCAAGGAGAAGATGAACAAGCAAAATGGTGGACGGAAGGTGTAAGTTTAGTACAAGCTAAGTTTTTTTCAAGGTAATAAAAGTGGGTGTATTTTGAAAATATAGTTTCTTTATTCAATCTAATGCAAATATGATGATTATTAACTGAGAAAGAGTAGGAGAAAATGACAAGAGAATAGGAGAGACATGCTGTCATTATGACTTAGCTAACAATGGGTTCACTGGCAGTGTAGAGTCTTTTTGTCATTACATGTACTCTGCATATGCCTATGATCTGAATGGGTCCAAGATCCTGTCCTTTTCAGCTGTTAATGCTGCAGAATTGGCAACGACCCTCTTTTCCATGAATAATATGGATATTTTAAAATAAAACGGTTGTTTCACTGGGGTGAAAATAAGAGGAAACAGGAATGAACGCACTGGTTTCCCCTCTGTAACCATATTCGTAGGTATAGTCATTTTCTTTTGCTTTCATATGGTGTAGTAGGAAAATACATTGAATGGTCAAAAGGGGTTTAGGTGCAGAAAGGGACTAGAACAATAAAACCAATGAGCAGATGATACAGTCTGAGTTTGCAAATGTTGAGTCTGCCATAAACAGAGCTGGAAATGCTAATAGCTAACTCTTCACTGTTACTTGGCCTAAGGAGTGAATGGGTTGAAAGTATATTTCCCTTTTTATGGCATAGCCTAACAGAAAATTTACCCCTCTTTTTTAGAAGGAAGAAGAGTGATTGCTTTCTTAAAACACGTGAAGTTGATTCAGACTGAGCGAGCTTTAATTGTATTTTGGCTTCTTGGCCTATAAGATGATGAGCTTCACTGCTGAAAGTGCTCTAAAAAGAAGACTATTCCTTGTTAGCCCAAAGACTCGTGGTTGTCAAAGCTAAATACTTGTGGCAGTAATATGTAGCTCCTCAAGACGACGTGAAGTTTTCCACAGTGAAATTAGGAGAGAGAAAGATAGAGAGGGAACCCACTCTTATACTGATGGGTCCCAAAGAAGTGGATTTCACTCTCCTTCTCTTTTGAGTCTTTTCCTCACTTTATCTGAAAGCTCACTTTAGATGATTATGATTTTTAGGTGAAAACACAAACATATTAGTATGTTTGCGAGTTTAGGTCTTTTTAGTTTCTCCTTGAGATAATATTGCCAATTTTGGAAGCAAAGAAACAAAATATTGGGATCCATTTCATTGATGATTTTTACTTGAATGTGTAAGATTTACTTCAATAAAAGACTATATATTTTGTGTTTATTTTTCTCCAACATTATCATTTCCTCTCTTCTCTGTGTGGTGGTAGCTGGTGAGACAGAAACAGAGCTAACTAGGAGCAACGGCATTACACTTTGATCTTGCATGTAAGTAACAAATATATGAAGCATTCATGTGGGAAGGAAATAATGATGGAGGTAAAGCCATAGCCAAGTATCATCATATTTTTTGAATTTATTAATTACCAATACTTCCATCTTTAAAATTTATGTCCCAAAAGCAACATTCTTGTCAAGAAGTGATAAAATCAGTGCTTCAGAAAAGGCAACATCTCAGAAGCAAACTGAAATGGTGGTGCATATTTTGAAGTTTTGCAAGTCAAAGCAAGCATTAATAAATAAAGTGGTTCGAGTGATCTATAAATCCCTAAAATTTGAGTGTAACACTTGTTGAAGGATTCAATAAACATTTGAATACTCCAAATATCTTATCTGCATTGCTTTCCATTGAGAGATCTTGAGCGGAGGTCTTCACAAACGGAAGGGCAAATTGACCCTCAACCGGAAAAAAAAAAAAAAGGGGGAAAAATTATATGTAAAGACTTAACCATTAAAAAGTTTATTACAAATCTTGAAATTTCAAGGACAACAAGTTACTTCTAAATTTAACAAAATTTTACCATTAAGATTTTAAAAAGTGACTACCAAATTTAAAAAGAGTTATAATTTTCAGAACTTTGATAGGAAGTTTCTTTAAACTGAGTTTTAGCTTCTGCAAATCTGATGTTAAACTTGATCATAATTTAAATTCTAAGAAATAACTATAATATAATCTTCAAATTCCTTGATCTCAATCTTTTAGCATTTAGGTCCTTAGATATAACTTTCCTGGGAAGTATTGCGCCAGTTTCTATACAGGCATAGGTCTAGCCCAGAAAGATGCCAATATTTTGCATTCTTCTGAGTAGTTTTTTAATGAATAAACAAAAACAATCCCATAGGATTTTCAGTTCTGATCTATGATTATGCAGTGATGCTAACAATCATATGTACCAAAGGAAACTAAACGTGGTGCTCAGAACACTAGAGGCAGGCTATGAAGAATGATATTCTGAACAAATTGAATTGTAGCCATATCAGATATGTAGCTGATATAGGGCATCTCTGTTGATTTTTTTTTTTTGGTTATTTAGTAAGTTTTGAATTGCACAGGGTGCAGGTTACATAGTGATTAAAGTTTATAGAGCATCCTCATGATATACTTAGTGATAAATATTGACATTTATATACTCCTCCGGTCCATAATATTAGGCCTATTTAACTAATTTGATTAGATTGAGGAAGTTAGGTAAGTTAGTTAATTATAAGAGATATGACATGTTTTCCCTAAAACACTATAATCGTCTTTCTTAATATCCTCCTTTCCTCACTTACTTGATTATGGTTGAGAGAATATCCATAGAGATAATTTATGAAAAACTGATAAATATGAAAAATAGGCTTTATATTTAGGACTAAAATTAACTCAATAATTAGATCTTATATTAAGAACCAGAGAAGTATAATGTATTTCACAAAAATACGTTTATTTGTCTGCATTCATGGTTTAGTGCTCTTAGAAGCATCAACACTTTATACAATGATGAGGGCAATGAACAGTGAGAGTAATAAGTTCTAGAGCAGCAGCACTAATAGTGCATAACTACTTTTACAGAGGAACACCATGTGAAGTTATTAATGGGGTTCAGTCTCTTAATTCCTTCCTCTGCACCATTCTGCTTTTCAATAGGCGTTTAAATCTTAGGACCACCATCAAAACCTTAAGGTTGACCTTATCCGTCAATCAAACACAAATAATATCCCCACACACACAGATAGTTTTTAGTGAAGGAGGACCACAATGGCACTGTATCAGTCCCTTGTGCAAGTTGCTGCAGAAGCTTTTTGCAGTGACCTGGAAATCCAGCATTTCAGTTGAAGTACAGCACTAGAATTTAATGCAATACCTGCTTCCTATATTGTGTTCTTAAATCTGATCAAGATTCAAGAAACTCTTTGCTGAGGCTTGGGCTATATCAGGATTGCAGGTAAGAGATTTGGAAAGGAAGATCTGGAGATAGAAGGCTATCGATAGCTACAACATTATTCAGGTGGGAGAGGTACTGGAGACAAACTTGAATTCTTCTGGCACAGATCAAAGTCTTGACATGTTTCATGATTAGTTTTTTAGCCCAGATGAAGAAAACTCCTTCTCATGTCTAATTAAAAAGGGATTATGAAAATAATTGGTGGTTGAATTAAGTAAAAAGCACTCGATATGGTAAGGTTTTGTATTTGAATCTTATGGATTGAAGAGTCATGTTAAGAGAGTCATCCTCATGTAGAATCTCACACCTGAGAGTACTTAAATAGGATTATATTGATGCCACAAAAAAAAGAAAAAAAAAAGAAAGGGCTACGAAATATCTAATGCAAATTTGTTGCTCCAACTTTCTTTTAAAATGATCTTTCTTCAAATGCATGATCATTTGTTAAAAAACTAGATGATTCTCCATGCATTCTATGGAATATGATAAATGAGCCATACAAGTAGTGATTTATGAATAGTGTAATTTAATATAAATTTTATAATATATATATTGATCTAATTTGAATTGAATTAATTCATATCTTTTGCAATCACAAAAGCTTTTCAATTTTTCATTGTCAATAGAAAGTATAGCATGATCTCATTTTCTATTGTCAAATAAAATATAAAATAGAGAGATGAATGCAAAGTTCGCAATGTCGTGTTCATCTGAAAAGGTGATTTTGGGATCTAGAAACGAGCTTTGAGGTGTAGAGAAGGGTCTGGATCTGACAGGGACATCTGAAGCATGATCGAACGACATTACAAGGTAGCTTGCTCACTGTTTCAGAGAATCTAATTTTTGGGGAGATTGGCAGCCTCTCATTTGCCTTTTTTCCCACCGGGTGCCCCCTTGTGTACAAGCCACTTTTTTTTAATTAAAAGTCTGTTGCTCAAATGTATAAATCACTTTTATATTATATCACCTCCAGTTCTAATTATAAAATCTTATTTATACTCTATAAATGATATTTTATAATTAGGACAGGAGGTAGTACAATGCCTTTTTTTTTTAAAAAAATAAATCTCTTCTCCGCTCTTAATTGTAGGACCAAGTTTTAAAGGGCTTGTTTAGTTTTTTGTTTTTTAAAAAATTTTTTGTTTTTAAAAATAGGAAAATAAAAAAACTTGTTTAGCAATTTGTTTTTAGTTGCTTGTTTTAAAAAACCAAAAACACTAACATGTTTTTTAAAACTAAAAAATCAAAACAATTTTTGCATGATTTCTTGTTTTTGTTTTTGTGTTTTTTTTTTTTTTTTGATAAATTTTTGAGAAATCTTCTTCTATTCTTATCTATTATCTATCATTTATCATTATTAGCGATAACTATTACCTACAAAGTGTGATTTTCTGTGTTTTTTTTTTTTCAAACATGATTTTTTAAAATTATTATCCAAACAAATTCTTTTTTTTTTGGTTTTCAAAACTTGTTATAAGAAATAATTTTATAAAATTGTTTTGGGAAAAAAACAAAGAACAAAACAACCATGCCTAAAGTCTTAGTTGATCTTAAGTACAAGGCAAAGAGGTGATAGTTAATTTTTCCAATTTTGCTCCTTTTTAATTCCAAGTTATTGGTATGCTTTTATTATCTTTAGTTTTTAATATAAGAGTTAGTTGGGGTTGAATTTAATTCTAAATATAAGATATTAATATATTTTGCCTTCCATCTTTCTCTTATGTATCCCTATGGATTGGATAATTCTAATCGTTCAATGTACACATGGTTGAAAACAATAATTTAAAAAGATTAGCACATTTTTGTGATAAATAACCATTTTAACTAATTTTATTAATATCTTCAAATTAGTTATTTAGTATTTATATTAAGGACTAGGTAGTAATTTTTAGACAATAATCTATTGTGGTCACTAATTTTAATAAAGAGTAAAATTGAAAAGCCAATAATTTTTTCAGGTTTAAGAATATCAACTACTACTTCTTAAGCATTGTAAAATTAGTTAACTTTGCCCTAGAATGGTTTGCATTCATTGGTTGAGACAGATTAATTTTATGTGAAAGAACAATTTAAGCAACTATTTTAACACGCATAACCATATGAGGCATGTAATTGTGACTTATCATCATCATTATGATCATGTTTTTTTTTTGGTTCTTATATATTTAAATACACACAGATATGTTAATGTCAGATTTAAATTTATAAATCTCATTTAAGGGTGGCGGATGGTCTTGTGATTAGGGCAGCTTGCCATAAACACCACCATTATCTTCATCATCATCATGTGAATGGTAAACACAAAGTGAGTAACACACAGAAAATGCAAATAAGATGCATAAGAGATATAAACAAGCTGTTGATTAAAATGGTAAGCAGTCTTACTCCCTATAAATAATAAAACATAAGTTTAAATTTCAGAAAGTATACTTGTTGTAAGGATTTTAATCTTAATGCTATTGACTCGATAGAAATTAATTTCAAAATGTAAAATAATTTGATGATACCCGGACTTGCACAAGAAAAATCCATGACTGATGAGTATCTTTGGGGTAAAATAGAACGCAGTTGAGAATTTGAAGCCGAAAACGGGTCTCAATTTTGGACTCACGGGAGGAGACAAAGAGCGTGTCAATGTTAAACGGCGGGCAATCTTTTATTTTTGCGGGAAAAAAGAAATGAAAATCGCATGCAACCAAAATCAGTAAATATGCATAGTAATTTAAGTTTCAATATCAAAAGTTACGTGTAGTGAAACAATATATAGATCAAAATGAAAAGTCAGTCCAAAAAGATTAAAGTGACTTAAAAAAAAATCTTAACTTTAGCTAAAAGATGAACATATGAAAAAATATATAATAAATAATTAAAGGACCAAACTCTTCTTGAATATTATTGCCTTTTACTTCTATCGAAAAATTTCACAATTAATCCATTAGTTTATGGGTTATTGAATTTTAAAACCTTATCTTGCATACCTGTATTTATTCCTACAGGCTATTTCCTTCTTTAGGTGCATTATTTTCATATTTACTGTATATATCGCACAAGAATATATTAAAACAAATATAATATGAAAAATAACTCAATCATGAGAAAGATATGAATAAAGTTTCCAAACTATTAAAAATGTTAACAATTTTAAAATTAACCGAAATTTAACTCATTTTCTGATTAATCGACGAATTTTCTGAGGCATGTGAATTAAATTAAGGATTTATTTTAACAACACTGATAAATAATCACTGTGTATAAGTCCATAAGCTGAAATCATTCACTCTAAAAATATTTTATTTCTAAACTATGTCAAAGAATTAAAAACTTGATCTTACTAAATTCAATATGCATTGATTGTTAATAGAATTATTTTTTTAATCAAATTTCAAAATAATTATTTTTCTTAATTAATAAAATAAATATATTTTTATTTATTATATAAATATATATTACGTTGACCAATATACGCATATTATTGATCGCACGCGTCATCAGATCGTCTCCGTCTATTTTTACATAATAAAAACTAAGTAGCCCAAATACCAGCGCGTAGATTTAAAAAACAAAAGCCTCGTTCGAACGCTATCGGCCGGGTTGGCCCATAAATATATATAGGCACAAAAAATAAAAAATAAAAAGCGTCTTGCTAACGCTGTAGGCTGAGCTGGCCCATATATATATGTGGGCGCACACAAACAACGCTACAAGCTTCTTCGCTCTCTGTCCACGGAGTCCAAGATGCAAATAGCGATTTCTTTCTCTGACCAAGATTTTGTCTGTGGAAGCTGAGCGAATTTATCTAAATCGGATGCTCAATGTCGAACTTCTTTGCGACTGCTACAAATCCAAACCCCAATAAGTCCTTTGAGGTATTCGAATTCACGCTATTTCACTGTTTATTGCTGCTTTCAACGCTTGGTCTTTGCTCTGTCGGGTTGTCTCTGATAATCTCCGAGTCTTGTATAATGTTGTATAATGCATGTTTTTGTTTCTTGATTTGCCAATTTTTCAGGTGACTCAGCCTCCTAGTGATTCTGTTTCGAGTCTTAGCTTCAGTCCCAAAGCCAACTTTCTCGTAGCCACTTCATGGGACAACCAGGTTGCCCCCAACCTCTTGGCTTGATTAGTTACTTGTAATTTTCCTGAGCTTTTATTGAGTGGCTTCCACTGCATCTTGGAAGATTTTGCTTTGAGTTTCAAGGGGAGAAGATATTATTTGGTAACGTAATGATGCTAGAAAATTTCTGTTTCATAAGGCCATAACAAATTCCTTACTTCCTCACAGGTTCGATGTTGGGAGATAGCACGGAATGGGGTAAATGTTGCCAGTGTGCCCAAGGCATCTATATCACATGATCAGCCGGTAAAATTTTGTTCACTTCGATTTGATCATTACTACCGTATAGTTTGGAATTTTTTTTTTTTTTTTTTTTTGACTGAAAAGAGATTTTATTAAACAAATGATTACAGAGGGGTCTTTAGAAAAAAGGAAAACAACTTAAAGATTACATAGTTAGTTGCTTGCGAAACTCAGCAACTCTTATAATTTGATCAGTCAAAGAAAGGGCTTCATTAACCAGTCCGAGGCTGGGTTTCTTCTTGGCTGAAGAGTCTTCTATGGCGGGCGTTCCAGAGCTTCCAGCAGAGAAGGCCAAACATCACGCACCAATTTGGGTTGTTCTTCCTCGCGTCCAGGTTCTTCAGCATGCACCTTTCGAAGGGTATACTTGGGAAATACAAGAGATGATGTTTAGGAACTACAAGGCTCCAGCAGGACTGAGTCCAATGACAGCTCCTTAAAACATGTCTAATTCCTCAACGACGTTTCCATAGCATTCACATTGAGTGCTTTGGGTCATGTGTCTTCGGCAGCGTTCAGCATTGGTTAGGAGTTTGTTCCTTAAGGCTAACCAAAGGAAAGATCTTACTCTCTGTATTCCTGGCCATTTCCATGCTAATTCCAAATTGGGTTTTCTTCGTCCCATTCATTCTCCATAACCAGATGGTAAGCTGATCCAAGGTTGAACTCATGCTGGTGGGTTAACCTCCAGTAGCTACTGTCCTATCCTTTCATTGGGTTCGGGGGATGAAGCTCTGAAATTTAGTTTAAAATATTCTGTGAAGATGCTCAGAAAGTTCCTGCCAATTCCATCTCCCATCAGCAGTTACAAAATCAAGTAGCTTCTTCCGCTGTTCCGCTTCTTGTATAGGTTTGTAGGCTAAATGTCGTGGGGGCCAAGATCTCCCACCCAGTGGTCCTCCCAAAATCTGATTTGTTCACCATTGCCTACTTCCCACTGGACTCCCAGGTTCATATCTTCTATTACAGCCGCCAGGCTTTGCCAGAAGTGTGATGCATTCTTAGTTCGCATGCTTTGGTGGGATTCACCATTCCAGTCATATTTACTCGTTATTATCTGCACCGGAAGTTTATGTTTTTTAATTTCAACAATTATCACTTCCATGTAAGACTCAATAGCATTGACTAGAACACTGCTGTAATGCGCTAATGGCTAGGATGCTAATGGTCCTCACTCACTTAAATTGGGTAGTTAGTTAGGTCTTTCATGTGCAATTTTTGTGGGGTGATGATTTTTTTTGTTATAATAAATGATTCTGTAGACCCCTCCCCCCCCCCCCCCCAAAAAAAAAAAAAAAAAGAGAGAGAAGCGCAATTGTTTCTTCAGTATGCACAATCAATAAGCATAGTGCAACTTATCTTGAGTTATCAAGGAGCAATATGTACAGTGAAAGCATCCGTAGAGATGCCAGGGTGTCTATTATGATGCTGAGCATCACTTTAGATGTTCCGGTCTTTATTCTTCATTCTTATGGTCTTTCTTATTTTCTTCTCCTTAAACATTAAGCTATTATTGTAGTCTATACGGGTCATAATGTATATCGTCATGCATAGGTTTTATGTTCAACTTGGAAGGATGATGGTACAACTGTCTTCTCTGGTGGTTGTGATAAGCAAGTGAAGATGTGGCCTCTGTTGTCTGGAGGCCAACCAATGACTGTTGCTATGCATGATGCGCCAATCAAGGAAGTAGCTTGGATTCCTGAGATGAGCTTGTTAGTAACTGGAAGCTGGGATAAGACCATGAAGTAAGGCATTATTATTCTCTATTCCATTCCATGTGCGTGTGTGTTTCCTTTTTGTTTCCCCAGATAGTAGTTTCACATTACGTAGTCTACCTCTTATAGCAGTATTTACCATTTTGGATTACAGACTGTGGTGCATGTTTCTACATTTTGAGCACCTAAAACCCTTTTCCTATCCTACTTTTATTTATCATCTGCATGGTAATAATGTCATCAAAGTCAGATATGCCGATCATCAATATGGCAGTTATTACTGTCATTGAACGTTTCACAACTTCTTGTTTATATATCATTAGTTGCAAATTTATTATCCGTATCTATTCCATGGTTGGTCTTGTCCATAATTGTTGTTTGACTTCTAGCTCTTCATTGTTATGCATGATCTTGTGCAGCTATGATTTCCACCTGAGCAATTTTCCTGGCTTTTACCAGGTACTGGGATACTAGGCAGCCAAATCCAGTGCACACACAACAACTCCCAGAACGATGTTATGCAATGACAGTGAGACATCCTCTGATGGTTGTTGGCACTGCTGATAGAAATCTAATCGTTTACAACTTGCAAAATCCTCAGGTATTTTGTACTTATCTTCTCTTGTGTATTTTCTCCATGATGATGAGACTGTATAAAGGTCATACTAGATAGGAAGTTGTTATGCGGATTTATTGAGAAGAGATGGAAATCGTGAGCATGAGAAATAGTTTGAATGAATAGAAGAGAAGAAAATGATGACATGAAAAAAAGACATAAAAGAATAGAATAAAAGCTCTCTGCTCTGATCTCTCTACATCAGTAATGAATATCTGTTAAATAGGCCGTGAGGCCCCACAGATCATGCATATCTGTCCTGCAGACTTATATTTGACTGTATAACCATTTCTTTATGTCAAGATGCATCAATTTAAAGATGAAATACATCTTCACGAAGAGTTTCCCTTCTTCATCTTGCATAAAAAGCCTATAATTAACTCCCAAAACTCAAGTATGGACAAACTTGTTTCTCTGCTAGTTACATCCCTGATTTGTTAAACAAATGAGTTGGTTGTCCCAAGGGTGGGGAGCTGTTGAAGATGTGCAGTTCTTCCTTTGTTTGATAGACGTCATGGTATTGCTCCAACCTCTGTCTTCTGGTTGGCAATAAAATTTTGATAGCAACTCATAGAAGGGCTTACTCCTGAAGTTTCTATTGAAAAAATGAAGTAGGAATTGAAACCTCAAAAATTTTTATAAAGCTTCTTACTGCATATAACAACATTTCCTGCAAATATCTGATGTCCCTTTGGTGTATAATTAACACTTGGGTTTATTATCCCCTAACGAATACGGCCAGTATGGCCATTAGGTTGTTTATTGACTAATTTGCCCTGAATTGAGATTGGTATCTCTTAATTTCAAGACTTGAATAAATAGGATAACAAATCTTCATTAATCGTCTGTTTTGTTTGTAAAGTACGTTGACCAGTTTGCCTCTGTAGTTTGTAATTCAGCCACTTCAAGGAGATGGGGACTTGAAAGTAAAGCCTTCATAGCATAATACCTTTCTGAAAAGCTTAACAGATTCTCAACTTACAAAGCTTGACATCTCCAAAAATCCCAGTCTGTTGATGTTTAGTGTTCTGCTTGATGTTTCCTGGTGGGCATGAGTGTGCCGTGTAGTATAGCTAAGAAACACACTCTTGTAACTGGTTGTTTCTTTTTGTCCCCAAATACATCAAGTTATTTATGGTAAATGCCCCTTATAATCGACCATCTGTTTATTTGCAACAGGTTGAATTCAAGAAAATTATTTCACCCTTGAAGTATCAGACAAGGTGCCTTGCTGCATTTCCTGATCAACAAGGTTTCTTGGTAAGCTTCTTATGCATTTTTGTGGCTCCTTTCAAGTTTCAATATCTTGGAGGGCTTATTTTTAATTCTCTTTTCCTGTTTTCCTTTTCAGTATCTATTGAAAAACTCTTGTTTCTTAAATATTTCATGCATTTTTTCAAAAAAAAATAGAGGCAGCCACGAACCAGAGGACAGGGTCCGAAAGGTGGATTAAATATCAATACTAGGCATTAAGACATAAAAGCCAGTTGATAAATCAGAGTTGTGTATCCTAAGTAAGGCAACTATCCATTGACATCCCAACACCAATTGTGGTTGTGATCACACCATGGTTTGCCTGGTTTTATCCCTCGTCTTCCTCATCTTCGTTAAGAATGTTCGTTAGAAGTTGCTATATACCAGTTGCCTCTTGGCCTTAAATGGTTATTGAGGAATTATTTCTACGTTTGCATAATGAGTTTATTCTCATCTCCTGTACTTGCAAGTTGTCTAGGTTACTGTTTTCGATTGGTTTCATTGTAATTGCGGTTTTTACACCGTCATACTATTCATAACTGATTTGCATATTGCTTTTTCAAAACATTGAGTTAGCCTAGATCAGTTGAAGAGTGGTATTTTTTAGCTGGTATTATGCCTACTTTGGGATATCATGGTGATTGTGGCAATTTAGCCAAATGGTGGGGACTTCAACAAAGAAAATTCTTTTACAAAAGCTGAAAACCCTATGATTTTTCTGTTCAAATGCTGACGTAAGATGAATTCTATGATTTCTAGACAAGTGAGTGTTGAGAACTACTGAAACTAGATCTCGTCCGCCTAAGTGTGTACCAATTGAGGTGTGAATAGATGAAAAACGTCATGGCTTTAAGCCAAAACAAGATGTTCATTTACCCAAAGAGGAAACACTTTATATAAATAGTAATCTAGAGAAATATTTTTTATCCATATTTGTATACCTCCACTTCTGCACTGGAAGGGGGCATATAATTTATTTTCTTCCTCTAGTTTCCATCTTTTGACAAAAGCTTGAAAGTTGTTCGTCTTATATCTTGTGTCTTGTGTGTTAGTCCATCCTAGGAAGCACCCCATGAATCTTAAGATGTACTGTAATCTCCAATATATGAGGGTGATTTCTACAGATCTATATTTTCTGGATTTTATTTCCTTCGTAATTATAATCTTATAAGAGTCGATTCATTGAGACTGAACTTGAATTTGATGATATGGTCATTGTAGGTTGGATCGATCGAAGGGAGAGTTGGGGTGCATCATTTGGATGATAGCCAACAGAGTAAAAATTTTACTTTCAAATGCCACAGAGAGGGCAATGAGATATACTCAGTCAACTCTTTGAATTTCCATCCTGTAAGATTTTGCTTTCCATCAGTTCCTTTGTTTTACTTCTAAATTGATTTTCAATAAACAATATGCATGCTGAATTGTCCTTTGAGTCCTTTAAATGGTGAATCTATTCTTTTTTTCTTTTCAAACTTCTTCCCAAAATTTTTGTCCACTTATAAGGCCAACACTTCAACCAGTAATAGACATGCTAGATATCAGTAATAAAGTTTATCCATCTTAAGCTTTAGCATTATGAATGTATTATTATTTGTTACAGGTACATCACACATTTGCAACTGCGGGTTCTGATGGTGCTTTTAACTTTTGGGACAAGGATAGTAAACAGAGACTTAAGGTTCTTCCGATGCCTTCATTTTCAATTAGTGAACATTCTTCCCATAATCAAATGCAATTCCTGCATATAGATATAATAGCGGAAATCTATTGGTCTTTGCATCCTCTCCTCCAGTCTTCAGCATAATCTTTAATTCTACTCTTTTTGGTTTAATCGAGTTTTGTAGATGCTTTTCTGATTTTAATGCAGGCTTTTCTAATTTCAGGCCATGCTAAGGTGCAGTCAACCTATTCCTTGCAGCACCTTCAACAATGATGGTTCAATCTTTGCTTACTCGGTATATCCTGTTTCTGCGCACGTTTGCAGCTCTATGAAATAAATTTTGGCATCCTCTTTCGTGTCACACGAAGTTGAGAATCTTTGATTTATATACCATCTCACCCCCCTTAAAAAAAAAGAAAAAAAAAAGAAAGAAATCAATTAGTAATGAGAGTGCCGTGAAAATCTCCTCTGCACAGAGTATGCTTGAGGGGATGCTAAAATGCTAGAGAATCGTCTGGAATATTGGAATTAAGATAGAAAAGAAGTAGAAACATGTAGGTATTTTACTGAAAAAATGTAGGCATGCAAAAAGATCGCAAGAAATGAGACTTAATTGATGGCTCTTCATAGTGAACTTTTCTGTCAATGTCATGTAAGCAAGACAATTTATTTTATATATATATATATATATTATATGAGAAATTGGATAAGTGCTATAAGAAGCTGTAAGTGATGTGTATATAACCCTGTTTTGCTATGATTGAAAAATTATGCATTTGCGTAGTTCTCACAAGTTTTGCTATTGCTGACTTATCTTGTGAAACAGAAATTATGAAAAAGTACCCAAAAGAAAATCTGAGAGAATGTCGTTAGACCTGTGTGTGAATGATTGTCCATGTTTCTGTCTATAGGTCTGCTATGACTGGAGTAAAGGGGCTGAAAATCATAATCCTGCGACAGCAAAGACTTACATCTTCCTGCATTTGCCACAGGTATTCAGTGATTTGTTTGTAAAAATAAATGTTCTTTAACAGCTTTTTTGGCAACATGCGAATATGATATGCTTCTGCAATGCAGGAATCTGAGGTTAAGGGCAAACCTCGACTTGGAACAACTGGGAGAAAGTAGAGACTATCCTAGCTTTGTATTACTCTTCTGCGCACATAGATGTTTTATACTGGTGTCGAATGTGGGGCATGGTCTTGACATTCTGTGTACTGTTTTCATTCTCTGTTCCAGATCTGATGTATATTACTAAGGTTTGGATCCCCTCACATGATATGATGGTCATGTGAACAGAAAAATAGGTGCACTTATGACCAGAGAACGCACGATATTTTATTTATTTTTCTCCACAAAGCACATCATCATAATGTTACTATGGGAGGATCCAAATCGTATTGGTTGGTGGTTTGGTAGTTTTATGATGAGGGATGAGCGGAAGGCATTTGTAAGTAGGCTGTGATTACTTTTACATAGGGATTGCTGAGTTGCAACACATTTGACGCTTTAAGTTGTGTATATATCATTTCATTTATAGTTTAGTTAGTGGTATGAGGGATTTAGGCAAGCAATCTCTAGTTATGATGGGTATGAATGTTCACAAGTGATTTATCAGAATTGGTTTGCCCCGTATATTACAATAAATCTTGTCCTTCAGCGGTTGCGTAGGCTTCACATTTTATTCGTCCAGCTTTCAACTTATCACAAATATCAGAGAGAGAGAGAGAGAGAGAGATAGAGTCAACGAGCCTGTTCGATTTGGTGAATTAATTTTTATTTAATTTCCTTCTTTTATCTATGCGCACTGGACTTAAAAAGAGGGAGCAGGGGTGAAGACTTGACCATGGACCGTGGTCATTTCCAGTTGTTTGGCATGTGTCTTTAGATGTCACTTGAAAGTTCTCCTCCCTTTAATCCTAATTTTATATTTAAAATATTAACTTTTTTCATATAATATTCTTAACTAACTATAGATCTTACTAATTAATTAATTAAATTTCTCTAACTTGTGATTTTTATTGAAAATATTACTCTCATGTTCTTAGCTCACGTGTAGGGTACTCAAATCAGGAATCCATACAAGAAAGGCTTTGATCATTAACCATGGAACTTTCTGAACTGGTTCGTGAGGTTCGTAAAAGTAGGAAAAAAAGAAAAAGAAAAGAGGAACAAGCGTGAGCCCAGTTTTTATTTTGTTGTTTAATTACCAACCTTCCATTAATTAGTAAGAATGGAATTCTCCAATAGTATGTATACCAATTATCCCATCTTTCACGTTATTAATAATTCAGAACTTTGAAATATTAATTATTAAAAGTTACTGGAAGAAGCCTATAAAGAGCGTGTATACAATACTTGAAAAGCTGTGATAAGCTTTTGTGATTGCAATATTGCTATGGGTGGGGTAGTTGTATTTTTATTATGCTTTGCTATAACCTGCTTCCGACCTAATGGTGTAGCTGCAGCTAATATGATGGAAGAGAAACGTGCTCTGCTTCAGACCCAGTGGTGGAATCTTAGCAATATTGCTCACAACTTCTCAGAGCCTTGATTGGAAAGGCATACATTGTAATGGCTTTGGAAGCATGATTGAGATGAATCAACTCAGGATCATCGCACAGCATCCTCGGCTAGCAGGTCTCAACCTCATTGCATTTCCCAACATACAATATTTAATGCTCAAAGGAAAGGGTCTGAGAAGTAGCATTCCAAATCAGATAGGAACTCTTTATTATCTCAGGCATATGGACTTGTCCCATAACAATCCTAGGGGTGAGTTATAAACCTTCCGAATTCACTCAATTTTGAAAATGAATAACTTAACAGTGTGTTATTGATGGATACCATTCCTGTGTAGATAGGGGCACTTCAGTATCTTAATTACATGAACTTGTTTCATAACAATCTTACAGGTTCGTTCTCTTCCACTCTTGCTACCCTGAATTTTTACTTTGATAACAAAATTATGTAGAATGCATTTACAACTCAAAGCAATGTCTTTTGACAAGTTACATTCCAACCCAAATGGGAGATTTTCATTTTTTCTATTTGAACTTGTCTCATAACAATATTATTTCAAGTGAGTAACCTCTCATCTTTATCCAAACTAAAACATTAAGAAATAATAATTGAAGACATGCTTAAAGGATTAAAAATTCTTTGAGCATGTTTTGGGTATTTGAAAATAAGAAGCTATAATATTAGGAAGTCATTCCTAAGCTTTATGATACGAAAGAAAATAATATCGAACGCTCTGTAAATTAACTTCAAGAATAAATAACAAGAACTACAGAAAACAGTGAACGAATGACAATCTTTGTCACCAATTAGTTTAAAGACGGAATTCCAGCGCTAATCAATTATTGGTGACTTTTCGTGATGAAATTTGCAAACTTCATCACTAAATCACTAAATTTCGTTCCTATTGCCATGACAGATGAGGAGAAGCATGCACTCCTTTAGACCAAATGGTGGAACATCAGCAAGAGTGGCTCTAGCATGGCATATCTTGCAATCTCTTTGGAAATGTAATTTCAATTGGTCAGCCAATAATCCATTCACAAGAACCACGGTTAGCAAATTTCAACCTCACTGCATTTCCAAAACTAGAATATTTAAATCTTCGTGGAACGGGGCCATTTCTTCAGCTTTGAGTTATACGACAAATATCAAAGACATATATTTGTGCACAAATTTATTCATTGCATTACAAAAACTACTAGATTTGATTCTTCATAAAATTGTGAGACAGATATTATTCCAATTCATATCAGAGCTCTTCATTATCTCATGTATTTAGACTTGTCTCACAACAATTTTGCAGGTATGCTACCCTCCACCATTACTTTGAGTACACGTAGTTAGACTCATTCCTCTAAATTTGAGTTTTATGAATAATCTTAGGAAAATATATTTGTACTCAGATTTATTCACTGCAGATGATATCTCTTTGCCGATTTTCAATTTGACAAATTTACAATGCTTTGATGCTTCTCACAATCAATTAAGTGGTAATGTGCCCTACTTTTTGAGCCGTTTTGATTTTCGGTGGTGACTTTAGTCACAACAAATTCAATGGAATATTACCATTTAGTACATGCAGTGTTCCACCAAATTGTAGCATTGACTTGAGCTACAATATCTCTGGTAGTATTGATAACCTCTCGAAATTTCTACTTATTCAACTTGTTTTAGTGCTTTTTTATATGGTTTGGACGTCAATTGTGTAGGAAAAGGCCCGAAGTGAGCAAGGAAGAGAGATTAGAAGTAGAGGAGTTAAAAAAGGACCAATCGCTGCGGCGCATGGAGACAATCGCCATGGCGGCTTTAGCAGAGAGGAAGGAATGTAATTCTATATGAGACACCATGGATCCTGACCATATCCGCCATTGTGCCCAAGCTGTCTCAAAGAAGTCACCATTCAGTGTGATCCGTCATGGCCTTTGCTCACATGTGTCATGGCGCCAAGACTGATCCAGGAAACCCATTTTGTGTAATTTGCTGTGGCGGATGACTAAATCCGCCACAGCATTTGACCCCTCGTAGCTGTGTGTTTTGTGTTGTAACTTGAAAATTAGGGTATATACTTCGAGGGACTGGTGTTTTCTGGATACACTTCAACTTTAGGGCTTTTTTGGAGGCTGGCTCTGCTAGGGTTTGGAGGTTTTGAAGCTTGGGATCTTTAGGCTCGAAGCTACAAGAGATTCAGAGCTTTTCCTTCAGTTTTTCTTCTTCGCTTCCCCTTGTTTCTGTAATGGCTAGTAACTATTGTTATAGTTGTGGCTTTTTACTAAAAATGTATAGCTAAAGCAGTTTTTCTAGGGTTATTTTGATCTATTATATGGATTAAGACTTGGTTCAACTCTCTCTTTAATGTTAATGATAATGTTTTGTTGTTTTTACCTTGAACTTAATGCTTCCTTATAACTGGCCATCATTTGGATTGTTTTGTTGATTGGTTGAAGCTTGAGAAAGTTAAATTAATCTGTGAACTTTGTTAAAAACATGCTAGTCTAGAAATTTATCTTAGTGAATGGAAGGTTTATTGATAGAATAGAGATATATCTATTAACCTAGCATAGCTAAAAAGGGATTTTGATTTTCAAAGTGCAATCTTTTCAAACAAATGTAAGAGATTGCTATGTTTTATTGAGATTGCAACAATTTGGTTTTGACTTGAGAAAGCTTAATCAATTCTGCGAACCCTGGCTAACTGAACTTATTGTTAACTACTACTTGAGAAGTGACTAATTAGGTTTTATGAAGTATTTTAGTAAAAAATAACCCTAGTCCCTTATTTGTCTTGAAGTCAAGTTGATTTCAGATTGATTTAAATCATTGTTTTCCTATTTTTATTTTACAAACTCTTTACAACTTTTGTTTCACTTAACTTGATCAAGAACACAATTATGATTTTTAACTCATCTAGCTTTAGTCTCTGAGGGAACGATACTTTTTATATTACTTGCGACCCGTCCGTTTACGATTAAGCTAATCGGCGAACAAGTATACATAGAGAACTTGGTAGGCTACACCATATCAATTTGTCATACTATCTTCTCAGTGGCTATTTCCCAAATGAAGTTTATAGCTCTTTTCCTCATGACATTTTATATGGTAATAAAAAATTACTTGGTTTAGAGAAGATGCCTGATTCTTCTAGAGGTCCAAAGTCATTGTTGAAATTCATTATTCCTTTGGCAGTTTTTCTTATCATTATATTTGTGGTAGGTTTCATCTTATTTGAATCTTTGAAAAAGAATGGGAAATCTAAAATTGAGACAAGAGAAACAAAAAATGGAAATATGTTCTCCACATAGAACTATGATGGAAAAATTACATATGAACAGAGAATTTTGACATGGGATATTTTATTGGAACTAGCGTAGATGGAAGCGTTTATAGAGCACAACTTTCTAGTGGCAAAATTATAGCATTGAAAAGCCTTCATAGAAGAGAATATGGAAAGACATCTTTTGCTAAGAGCTTTTATAATGAAGTAAAGATGTTAAGTGAAATTTGACATTGCAACATTGTCAAGCTTTATCGATTTTGTCTACATAATCAATGCAATTTTCTCATCGATGAATACATGGAAAGAGGAAACCTTTTTTATGTCTTGAATAGTGATGATGAAGCTAAAGAGTTGTATTGGAGCAAGAGAGTGAATGCCATCAAAGGAATAACAAATGCTTTGTTCTACGTACATCCTGACTATGCTCCTCCAACTATCCATCAAGACATAACAAGTAGTAATATATTTTTGAACTCAAAGATGAAGGCTTTTCTATCCAACTTTGACACAGCTAGAATCATTGATCCTAATATATCTAATCGAACTCTTCTAGTTGGTATTTATAGTTATGTTGCTCTAGGTCAGCCTTTCTGATTCTCTACTTTTTCTATTGTTGTGTTGTATTTTATTTTTACAATTACTTACTTGGGATTATTATATAATTTTTCTAATATTTGATCTATTGTAGAGCTTGCATGCACCTTTAGTTGTGGTTGAAAAATGCGATGTTTATAGTTTGGGGGTAACAACATTAGAAACAATCATAGGAAGACAACCTAGAGATTTGATATTATATTTGTCAAAGACTTGTATTGAAAGCATTTTGCTAAAAGATATCATAGACCCATGTCTCCCATTACCATCACGAAGAGATGCAAGAGA